CAACAACTCCAACCACCTACTCTCGCCTCAAATTCAACTCCTTTTGCTTGAACAAGTACTGAAGACTCTTGTGATCCGTGAACACCTCACATGCCACGCCATACAGGTAATGCCTCCAAATCTTCAATGCGTGAACTATGGCTGCCAACTCCAAATCATGAACCGGATAGTTCTTCTCATGAATCTTCAACTGCCTCGAAGCATAGGCAATGAACTTGCCGTCCTGCATCAACACTGCTCCAAGCCCAACACGGGAAGCATCACAATAGACTGTATAAGGCCCTGAACCAGTGGGCAAAACCAACACCGGTGCCGTAGTCAGAGCCGTCTTGAGCTTCTGAAAGCTCGCCTCACACTCGTCTGACCATCTGAACTCGGCACCCTTCTGGGTCAATCTGGTCATCGGGGCTGCAATAGATGGAAACCCCTCCACGAACCGACGTTAGTAGCCTACCAATCCCAAGAAACTCCGAATCTCTGTAGCTGATGCTGGTCTAGGCCAGTTCTTGACTGCCTCAATCTTCTTTGGGTCCACCTGAATACCCTCTGCTAATACAACATGACCCAGAAATGCAACTGAACTCAACCAGAATTCACACTTCGAGAACTTAGCATATAGTCGACTATCCCTCAGAGTCTGAAGAACCACTCTAAGGTGCTGCTCGTGCTCCTCCTGGCTACGGAATATATCAATATATCATCAATGAAGACTATCACGAACGAGTCCAAATAAGGCCTGGACACTTGGTTCATCAAGTCCATAAAAGCTGCTGGGGCATTTGTCAACCCGAATGACATAACCAAGAACTCATAATGCCCATACCGAGTGCGGAAAGCTGTCTTAGGGATATCGGATGCCCTAATCCTCAACTGATGATAGCCAGATCGCAAGTCAATCTTGGAAAATACCCTGGCACCCTGAAGCTGGTCGAACAAATCATCAATCCTCGGTAGTGGATACTTATTCTTGATCGTTACCTTATTCAATTGCCGGTAATCAATACACATTCTCATTGACCCATCCTTCTTTTTAACAAACAACACCGGCACACCCCAAGGCGAAACACTGGGCCTAATGAAGCCCATCTCAAGAAAATCTTGCAACTGTTCCTTTAACTCTTTCAACTCAGGCGGGGCCATACGATACGGCGGAATAGAAATGGGCTGAGTGCCCGGAGCCAGATCAATGCAGAAGTCAATATCCCTATCGGGTGGCATACCCGACAGGTCTGAAGGGAAAACATTAGAGAACTCACAAACAACGGGCACAGAATCAATAGAGGGAACCTCAGCACTAGAATCACGAACATAGGCTAAATAGGCCAAACACCCCTTCTCGACCATACGCCGAACCTTCACATACGATATAACACTGTGGGTAGAATAACCAGGAGTCCCTCTCCACTCTAAACGAGGCATACCCGGTAAAGCTAAGGTTAGAGTCTTGGCATGACAGTCCAAGATAGCGTGGTAAGGTGATAACCAGTCCATCCCCAATATAATATCGAAGTCAACCATGTCTAAGAGCAACAAATCTACAAGAATCTCAAGACCCCCAATAACCACAATACAAGAATGATGGACTCGATCGACCACAATAGAATCACCCACCAGTGTAGACACATAAACAGGAATACTCAATGAATCACCAGGCATGACCAGGTACGGAGCAAAATAAGATGATACATACGAATACGTAGACCCCTAATCAAATAACACTGAAGCATCTCTATCACAAACCAGAACCGTACCTGTAATAACTGCATCTGAAGCCTCAGCCTCGGGCCTCGCCTGAAGAGCATAACATCGGGGCTGGACCCCACCACTCTGATCTACCTCTCTAGGACGACCTGCTGCTGGCTGGCCTCCACCTCTTGCGGCCTGAGCTCCACCTCTAGTACCTCTACCTCCACCTCTAGCACCTCTACCCCCACCTCTAGCTGGCTGGGCGGGCTATGGAACATCTGGTGCCTGTACCATGGCATGAGAACCCTGATGCTGAAGCTGCTCGGTGCTCGAGGGCAAAACCTGGCAATGTGGCCCGTCTCACCACAAGTGTAACAAGCCCTCGGCTGCTGAGACTGCTGGCCCTGGCGACCTGAATGACCACCCCAAAAACTCTGAAGCGGCGGCGCACTGATAGGAGCAGGTGGTGCACTGTAGGACTGCTGATCGGAATACTGCACCTGGGGACCACGGCCACCTGAAGCTCCGTAAGAAACCTGAAATGCTGACTGATAAGGCCTAGGAGGATGGCCTCTACCATATGAATCTCGGCCTCCAGACGAGGCACCACTGAATCTGCCTGACTGTCGGGGTCTCTTGTCTGCTCTATGACCACCCCCCTATGATAATACCATCTCAACCCTCCGGGCCACATTGGCTGCCTCCTGGAAGGATATCTCACTCCCAGTCCCTCTAGCCATCTGGAGACGAATCGGCTGAATGAGTCCATCAATAAACCTTCTCACTCTCTCCTTCTTAGTGGGAAGTATGATAAGAGCATGACGAGCCAACTCAATGAACCTGGTCTCGTACTGGGTGACAGTCATGGATCCCTGCTGAAGGCGCTCGAACTGCCTTCGATAGGCCTCTCGCTGTGTAATAGGGAGAAACTTCTCCAGAAATAGCTGTGTAAACTGCTCCCAGGTCAAGGCTGGCGATCCTGCTGGTCTAGCTAAGCAATAATCCCTCCACCATGTCGTGGCGGATCCAGACAAGCGAAATGTAGCGAAATCAACCCCATTGGTCTCAACAATACCCATGTTCCGAAGAACCTCATGGCAGCTGTCCAGATCAAAAAGTCGAGAAAAGAATGGAAGATATTTTCAAAATCAAGTAAGGAGACTCAGAGTTGCTTAGAGAGTTCGTGGATAGATTCCAGCGTGAAAGTGATGCTACCATGAGTACCGGACAACTGGGCTGCTATAGCCTTTACCAGTAATTTGAATAAGAAAAGCTCAGAAGCCACGAGGCGACTCAAGGAAAGTCTTCGTGAATTCCCAGCAACAACTTGGAATGACGTTTACAACAGATACAGTACGAAGCTAAGGATAGAAGAAGATATTAACTCACGATCTCAAAAAGAGGAAAAGGTTAGTTTGAGACGTGCAGAAACCGAAAAAAGGTCCGGTAAAAATAGATACAAACCATATATGGTCCCAGCGGGAAAAGATTCACGATCAAAGCAAGACAATTCAAGGTATGATCATAGATCGAGGAATAGAGAGTCGGGTTTATCCTCAAAGTTTGGGAACGATCGAAACATGCGAGAGACGCGAGACGATGATAGAAACTTAAAGGCAAGATTTGGCGGTTACAATTTTAATGTCAGCACTTCCGAGCTCGTAGCCGTTTTAAGAAGCATGGGTGATAAGGTTCAGTGGCCAAAGGAAATGAGATCAAATCCAAATAGGCGAAACCTTGATCACTGGTGTGAGTTTCACAATGACCATGGTCATAAAACAGCAGATTGTAGACTGTTACAAGGGTATCTTACCGAACTATTTAGCGAAAAGGGTAAGCAAGCATACATGAAGAATAGGCAGGAGCCGCCCAAACCTCCTTCTCCGAAAAGGATCGTTAATGTTATAAGTGGAGGCGAAGGAATTAACTGCGTGACATATACAACAGCCAGGAAAATTTCTAAAGTTACAGTTACACACGGGAAGCGGGTTCGACATGTTCTGGAGGAAGAAAGTATTACATTTGATGATGCAGACGCGGACGACGTGATAACCCCCCACAACGATGCACTGGTAATTTCTCTACTTGTACATGATACTAATGTGAAACGAGTTTTGATTGATCCAGGTAGTTCCGTGAACATTATTTTGATAAGAGTACTAAGTGAGATGCAAGCAGAAGATAGACTGGTACCTAAGGCACATACCCTGTCCGGCTTCGATAATTCGAGCGTTGTGACAAAAGGAGAGGTAACACTTACAACATTTGCAGTGGTAAAAGAAATGAAGTTTCAGGTGGTAGAGATGGAAATGACTTACAATATAATTCTCGGAAGACCATGGATCCACGAGATGGATGATGTTCCATCTACCTTGCATCAAGTTATGGAATTCCCATCACCATGGGGAATACGTCAAATTCATGGGGATCAACAGACTTCCAGAAGCATCAATTCTGTAGCAGATTCAAGTTCGAAAAACGAAGAAAAGTAGCAATTACAGAGTCCAGTTGAGGATATCACGACACAAACCTCAACTGAACAAGGGCAAACAGATGTGGACTCAAGGCCCGATTCCATTCAAGAGCCAAAAGAAAATGAAAATATCAAAACAACAATTGAAGAACTAGAGGCTGTAGAGTTGTTTGCACAATGGCCTGAAAGGAAAGTTTATATTGGGGCCAACTTAAGCCACGACTTGAAAAGTAAGTTGATTGAATTTTTAAAAACTAACATAGATTGTTTTGCCTGGTCCCATTCTGATATGACAGGAATACCCCCGGAAGTAATGACTCACAAGTTAAATGAATACCATCGTATCCACCTGCCAAACAAAAAAAAGAGAAAGCAGGGGACTTTCAAAAACCAGGTGATTCAAGATGAGGTTCAAAAATTATTAAAAATTGGGTCTATCCGCGAGGTAAAGTATCCTAATTGGTTAGCCAACACTGTAGTAGTACCGAAAAAGAATAGTAAATGGCGAGTTTGTGTAGATTACACCGACCTTAATAAAGCATGCCCTAAAGATTCTTTTCCATTACCACATACAGATCAACTGATTGATGCTACTGCAGGACATGAGTTGTTAAGATTTTTAGATGCATATTCACCAAATCAAAATGGATCCCCTAGATGAAGAAAAAACTTCATTTATAACAGACAGGGGGACTTATTGTTAAAAAGTAATGCCCTTTGGCCTCAAAAACGCTGGAGCCACGTATCAAAGGTTGGTGACCAAGATGTTTCAGGAACACCTAGGAAAAACTATGGAAGTCTACATAGATGATATGCTTGTTAAATCGCAAAAGTCGAGGGATCATATACAACATTTGTCTGATACATTTTCGATTTTATGAAAGTTCAATATGAAGCTAAATCCCGAGAAATGTGCACTTGGCGTCTCATCAGGTAAGTTTTTGGGTTTTCTTGTTTCTAACCGAGGTATTGAAGTAAATCCTGCGCAGATTAAGGCCATTGAAGAAATTCCTGACATGCTCACAAGTAAGAAAGAGGTGCAGAGATTAACGGGAAGAATTGCAGCCTTGGGGAGATTCATTTCTAAGTCATCAGAAAAATGTTTTAAATTATTTTCAGCTCTCGAAAAGCAAGATCAGTTCGAATGGTCTGAGGAATGTCAACGAGCACTTAAGAAATTGAAGACATACTTGTCAAATCCACCGTTGCTAGCAAAATCAAAAGACGGAGAAAGGTTACTTGTCTATCTAGCCGTTTCAGAAGTAGCGGTAAGTGTTGTTCTGGTTCGTGAGGATCAAGGTAAACAATCTCCAATTTATTATGTTAGAAAATCACTATTAGATGCAGAGACGCGGCATCCTCTATTTGAAAAACTTGCACTTGCATTAATCATGGCATCTAGAAAATTGAGGCCTTATTTTCAATGTCACCCTATCTCTGTAGTAACTGCTTATCCCTTGCGTAATATATTACACAAACAGGAACTATCGGGTAGGTTAGCCAAATGGACCATAGAGTTAAGTGAATATGACATCACATATCAACCCAGAACTGCAATAAAATCACAGGTGTTAGCTGATTTTTTAGTTGATTTTAATCAAGGGATGCAATTAGAAGCAGAAAAAGAACTACAAGTGTTCAATGGATCTAATTTAGGAACCTGAACTTTGTTTACTGACGGCTCATCAAATGTGAAAGGTGCAGGTTTAGGAATTATTTTGGTACAACCTACGGGTGAAATCATTCGACAAGCCATAAAATGTCATCTTGTAACTAACAATGAGGCAGAGTATGAAGCCGTGATTGCAGGTTTAGCACTAGCACGTGAACTTGGCATATAACAAATTATAATCAAAAGCGATTCGCAACTCGTAGTCAACCAGATGCTGGGGACTTCTATAGCCAGGGAAGTAAGGATGCAGCAGTACCTGGAAAAGGCATGAGATCTGGTTAGGCAATTCCAAAGCTGGAAGGTTTTGCAGGGCCCACAGGAGGAGAATGTTGAGGCAGATGCCTTAGCTAATCTTGCAATTGCAGCAGAAGTAACAAATGAGGAAAATGCTTCTTTCATACATTTATTTTATTCGGTACTCGATCAGGACAAAAATGAGGTAAATTTCAATAACCTAACTTGGGATTGGAGAAACGAGATTGTTGCTTTTTTGCAGTATGGAACCGTACCTGAAAATAGGAAAAAAGCTCACGCGCTTCGTAAAAAGGCTGCTCGGTACTGTTTAAAGCAAGGCAACCTTTATCGAAAAATGTTCGGCGGTCCATTGGCAAGATGTCTCGGGCCTTCTCAAACGGAATATGTAATAAGAGAGATACACGAGGGGCATTGTGGAAATCACGTAGGAGGAAGGTCACTGGTAAGAACCATGATTAGAGCACGCTATTATTGGCCTAAAATGGAAGAAGAAGCGGAGAATTTCGTGGCTAAATGCGATAAGTGCCAAAGATATGGTAACAATATGCATAGACCTGCGGAGTTGCTACATCCGGTCATCGCACCATGGCCTTTTATGAAATGGGGGATGGATATCGTGGGTCCACTACCACAAGCATAAGGCAAGGTAAAATTCCTACTTGTACTCACTGACTACTTTACTAAATGGGTAGAAGCAGGAGCATTTAAACACGTACGAGAAAAAGAAGTCAGAGATTTCATTTGGCGAAATATTATATGTCGATTTGGTGTACCAAAGGAAATCGTGTGTGATAATGGCCCGCAATTTATAGGTGCACAAATCACAGAATTTTTTCAAAGTTGGCAGATCAAAAGGATTACCTCAACACCTTACCATCCAGTGGGTAATGGACAAGATGAATAAGCAAATAAAATTATTATCAACAATTTGAAGAAATGATTGGAAGAATCCAAAGGCAATTGGCCAGAATTGCTACCTAGTGTTCTATGGGCATATCGCACCACAGCAAAAACAAGCACGGGTGAAACACCGTTTTCACTGGTGTACGGGGCTGAAGATTTGATCCCAGTGGAGATAGGAGAACCTAGCACGAGATATACAGAAGCAACTGAGGAATCCAATGAAGAGGAAATGCAAGGAAATAGAAGCTGCATTAATAAGGATGGCAGCGCAAAAACAAGTTATGGAACGATACTACAATCGAAAAGCATGTATAAGATACTTCAAGATTGGGGACTTCGTACTCAAGAAAGTTTTTCAATCCACAAAGGTGGCTAATGCGGAAAAATTAGGTCCAACCTGGGAAGGACCTTACAAGATTCATGGTATTGCAGGGAAAGGAGCCTAAGCTTAGTCGTAAACTAAAAGTTATTTTTACAAAACTCCCCGAAAAAGGTCTGGGGACTTAACTTTTTCAACAAACCCTCAAAAAGGACCAAGTGTTACAACCACATACCACCCAAAAAGAAAAAAAAACGGAAAGTCACATATTATAAACTTGTCACTAAGGAGTTGAAGAAGGAACTGATGCAGGAACATCAGCAGCAGCAGGCTCAACCTGACTTGAAGGAATTGGAGCACTCACCGTACCCGTATCATCTTTAATATATTCAGAAGTTTCAGCCACGGGAGAAGAAAAGTCTTGGCTTTGCTGAGTCTTTTCGATGGTTTCTTTTATTTTAGCCAACTCAGCCTCCAAGTTGAAATTCTCTTGGCTAACTTCTACAAGGGTATCATGGCGAGTATTTCAAAATGCCCAACTCACTTCAATTGCTGTTTTATCCTCGAGAATCTCATAATCCTTTTCCCACTCAGCAATTTCACTTTTAAGTTTCTCATTCTCAACCAAGGCAGAATCATAAGAAATTTGAAGAGAAGCATGTGAACTTTCTAAAAAACGAACCTTACCAGAAGATTCCCGGAGGTCTTCTTGAGTCTGAGTCAAAGTTTGCACAAGTTCATCAACATAAGCTTCTTTTTTACTTAAGAGAGCCTTCAACTCTCTGATTTCTTCACTAGCCTTGGAGAGTTGCTCGGAAAAGGAAGTTTCGAGAAGATTTTTGTCTTTACTAGCTTGATTTGAGGATGCTCTTTCAACCGCCAACTCCGAAGTTAAATCTCTCAGCTACTGTTCTAAGGTGAACTTGTTCTCTTCTAACGCTTCCATGTCAATTTGAAGGCTCTCATATTGCTCTCTCCAGTTATCTGCTTCAACTTGGTACTCATGCATCAAATGATCCGTGTGAGAAACCCTCTTCATCATTTCTGTACCAACGAGGTTGATCTAAAAAAAAAGAAGAGAAAAGGTAAGAGCCTTACAAAAAGGAATAACAAATCATTAAAAAAGAATACCTTTAATGATGAATGTATTATGTCATTCATCAAAGTTAAAGAATTGTGGCTCTCAAGCTTGGCTTTCTCGATTGGACCAATTAAGGGTTTCAACCACACGTCAGCCCCACCTAATTTTCTCAAAAGATTACCATCGGCAGTGACCTCGATGATAACCTGTCTCATGGCTCCACCTCTACTTGAGGAACCAACCTCAGTTTGTTGAACAGTTGTAGGAGGAACTGTAGAAGGAGTTAAAATAGCTGGGGGAGGAGTAGTAGAAGGAGTCAAAATAGTTTGGGGAAAAGCAGCAACGGTAACAGCCTCAAAAGGCAAAGAAGGTATTGTAGGAGCAGATAAAGGAAAAGAAGCAAGGGGCGCTTCATCAGAAATTGGTTTTAAACTTTCACTACCAAACCCGCGGATAAAAAGCTACTCAACAGAATCATGGGCCGCAGCGGGGGTATCATCATCAGGAATCACCAACGAGGCTTCAACAGGCTCGGTGTGAGGAGTAGAACGAGGGGGAGATGCTTCATCATCTGAAATAATTCGTTTTCTAGCCTGTGGCCTTTTTATCAAAGAACCCCCGTCTTCTTCTTCCTCCTCCTCAGAGTCTTGATCGACAGTAGCTTTCCTTTTCGATGAAGAGCCCAAAATTATTTCTTGGGCCTTTCCAAAGAAATTCGGGAAGCTACGACAGCCTCAGTACTAATACCTCGAATGGCAAATCCTGATAAAAAGAAGGATTAAAATAAAT